CCCCAGTGCCCTCACTCACCATCGATGATGAGCTGCAGCTCATTGGGCTGTCCCCTCAGGTACCCCCCGGCGATCCCTGGGAAGACAGATCCTGTCACGGCCCCAGCGGCACAGCTGCCCCCCCAGCGGCGCTGCCAGCCCGGCCACACGCCCTCCTGCCCTGGCAGGGTTGAGCCCGGGGCCTTCCTGCCTTGCGGTGCCCCAGGGCTGGGCTGGCACGGGGCAGCAGCAGCCGCCGGGGCACTCCACAGCACATCCCTGGGCCGGATGCTGCTGCCGCTGCAGCAGCCGGGGCTGGGCCCGAGCTGCAGCGGGGTGGGGAGGGACCGCGGCCTTGTGGCTCACCCATGAACTTGACGGCTGCCTCTCGCAGGGGCTGCTGTGGGCTCCGCAGGTACGGCAGGGCCTGGTGCATGTACTTGGCCACTCGTCTTCGGTCCTTTTTCAGCTGGAGAGAGCGGCAGGGCATGGAGGGAAGGGTTGGCTGGGGCTCTGTCCCTTGGCCGGGCGCTGCCTGCGCCCAGCACTGGCCTCCCCTGCCCGCACAGCCCTGAGGCCCGGGCAGCAGCCGCTGGGGCCGGGCTTTGGAGGGAGCAGAGGGCTGGCTGCTCCCTGGGAGCGGCGGGACTGCCCTGCCCCAGAGCCCAGCTGGGCCGGGGCTCCAGCGGCACCCTGGCTCGGGGGCAGAGGAGCCCGCAGAGGAGCCTGCACGCCCCAGGGAAGGCAGCAGCGTGTGGGGCACAGGCTGCTGTCCCACAGGCGGGTGCAGCAGTGGGCAGGGGCACAGTGCCAGCCCCACACTCTGGGCATGGGGGACTGGGGCTTTGGGGCCGTCCTTACCAGGCACTCGCCAAAGCTCCATGGCTCCTCTGTGTTCACCAGGTGCCCAAGATCCCTCCTCTTCAGGAACCTGGTCACAGCCAGCAGTGCTCCCTGAGAGGCCTGCAGAGCAACAGAGACCAGGACATGGCAGCGCAGCCCAGGGCACGGGACCCCTGTCCCTGGACCAAGGCCAGGAGGAGGCTGGAGCCCGGGGGGGTGCCAGGCCAGGAGGCGGCCCAGCCCCCTCCCACGGGACACCAGAGCCCACGAGTCCTCACCCTTTTCACGAGCACCTTCTCGTCGTGCCGGTGGAAGTAGAGCGGCAGCAGGCTCAGGCACACGAGTGGCTTCAGGGGCCTCTTTCCCTCTCTCTCGATCACTTTGATCACACGAGAGAAGAGGACCATGGAGCCCTGCCGCACACTGCTGTCGTCCTGGCGGAAAGAAAGAGGAAAAGAGCTCAGCAGCAGCTTCTCCAGGCCCCACTGGGCACAGGCCTGAAAATCCCCAGGGACCAAAGTTTCCCAGCAGTACCCAGAGCCCGTGGCGGGGGGGGCACAGAGCCTTACGTGGTCAAAGAGTGGCCGGAGCGCCTCAGCCAACTGCAGGCCGGTGGGGGTGGATATTAGGGGGTCTTTGCTGCGGACTCTCTCGTGGCACCGTGTCCAGAGACTGGTCCAGAGCACATGGTCGAGCACAGAGAGGGTCATCCAAACCACATCTCTGTCTGCATCCCCCAGGAGCTGCACGAGCCTTTCACTCAGGCTCCAGATGCTCTCGGCCTGTGAGGAACACAATGCTGTGCCGTGAAGCCACGAACGGCTGCACCACCAATCCCGCTCCAACGGGGCAGCCCCACGTGCTGCCGCGTGGCCCGGAGGCCAAAGGCCTGTCCCGAGGGACTCGGGCAGCTGAACGGGGAAGCAGCAGAGTTGGGAGCAGCTGCCACAGCTCCCGAAGCCCAGCCAAGCCCAAGCGACTGCCCCAGGATTCCAGCGCGGCTTCAGCCAACTGCCCCTTCTCACCATCACGGGATCCTGGCTGAGTGCCACGACGACTCTGAGCGCCAGTTGACGCCGCTTTTTGTTGGTGCTCCCCAAGTTCCTTGAGAGCGTCTCCAGGACCCTGTCACCGCATTCTTTGGTGTCCAGGCAGTCCAGGACCTGAAAGGCACGGAGCAGTGACGGGGTGCCCAGCCGGCAGGAGCCCGGACCCGCACAGGGCTGGGCCCAGGCAGCAGCCCAGGGCGCAGCACCGTCCCGGCAGCTGCGGCTGGCAGAGGGCAGAGAGGTGGAGGCAGCTGGGCGAGGCAGCGCTCGCCAGCAGGCTCACCTCCACAAGGAATGCCATGGCAGGCAGGTCCCAGCACAGCTCCTCCCTGCTCAGCAGCTCCAGCAGGTGGAGTGTGATGCGGGAACACAAGGGCCTGGAGACATGGCGCTTCTCCCTAGCAAGGGGAAAAAGGTATCATTGACCTGAGCCAGGCGGGCAAACCTCTCCCGGGAGGGACTGACAGAGGCCTGGTCTTTCCCCACCAGCCCAGGAGGGGACGAGGGCACTCTGGGAGGCGGCTCCTCCTGTGCACCCGCCTCTCCCAGCCTTCTCCACTCTGCTCGGTCGTCCCTCGGTGACAAGACCCTCTGGCCCACGACCACGGGCACTGTGGGAGGTGCCCCGTGCACAGGCAGAAAGGACAGGGGCAGCGGGGACAAGGGGGTCTCACCTGGCCAGCAGGGCCACTGCGTAGCGGCGGCTGTGAGCGTTGAGGAGCCTGGCCCAGCCACCATTGTCTTCCACTGAATTCACCCCATCCTCCCAGTGGAGACAGCAGAGCAGGGCCTTCATGGTCAGCACTGCAAACCTGTGTGCAGAGCAAAGCCCAGGTCATGCTGGGAGCCCTGGCCCCAGCCCTGAGGGCATGGGAGGGAGGGGAGGACTGGCACGGAGCACCTGTTGGGGTCGGTGGGAAGGTCGTGCTGCTCCTGGCATCCCCTCCAGAACGTGTTGACCTCCTCTGACGTCTGCTCTGTGCTGTCGAAGACTTGGAAGAGCAGATCGACGAGGAGATGAGGGGAATAGTCCATCAAAGGCCCTGGGCACTGGGGCTCCTGGACAATCATCCACAGGGCCAGAGTTGCCTGCAGAAGACGAACCACCCGGACACAGCAGTCAGTGCCAAGACATCCATGTGGCAGGGCCCGAGCGTGGGAGGGGAAGGCCAGGGGAGACTCGGGGGGAGCGCCCGGCCTGGTGCCCCTGAACCTGCTGCTAGCCCACATTTGCAGCCCAGTGCCTGCACGGAGATGGGCAGGGAGACGCCGTGCTGGGGGAGGAGGGAGAGCTGCCGGAGAGGCAAGCTGGGGGCAAGCAAAGGTTCCAGAAACTCACAGCCAGGGCAAAGACGTCTGTGTTGTCCCCATCGGAGGTGCGTGTGTAGTACCACGGCCAGTCCTCCATCACGCAGAGCAGTGTTGGCAGCACCTTCCGCAGCGTGGTTCCCGATGAGGCGATGGTCCTCCACATGGTTGCAGCAGCTCTGTGGAGTCAGAGCTCTGCGTCAGGGGGGTCCGGACCACAGTGCCCTGACATGGGCAGCTGCAGGGGCCGAGTGACAGAGCCACAGTGCTTTCAGGGGCAGGGGGATGATGGTGAGCCCGGAGCCCTCAAGGCAGCTGGGGCCCGTACCTGTCACATGAGGGAGCACAGCGCAGGAGGGTGATGGTGACATCCACGGGGTGTGCCTCGGTCAGTGCCAGAAGGGTCTTATCCAGCACGTGCCCAGCAGACACATTGGAGGTCAGCCACGAGTGGATGGACCTCACCAGAGGTGGCACCTGGAGGGGACACAGGGGAGAGTTGGAGAGCTGCCCGAGGGAGCAATTTCCCGGCCTCCGCCGAGAAGTGCTTCCCCTCCCACTACACTGTGCCGGCCTGAAAGGCTGAGGGGGCCCAGCGGAACAAGCTTGAGGGCCCACACAATCCCTGCCCACAGGCTGCTTACTTGAGCAGAGACAACTCTCTCCTGAGGAACATGCAGACTGGGAGCATCGGGCAGGCGCTGAACGGGTGTGCTGTCCGCGTCTGCGATGCCCTCAGTCCCTGGGGCGTCAGCCTTGGCCTTGAGCTCGGTGGGGTTGGGCTCAGGCTGTGCCACGACATTGGTTGTTGAGGTCCCGGCCTTTCTACGCCGAACGGGAGCGGATTTCCGCACCCTCTGCGGGAGAACAAAGGGCAGGGAAGAGAGGGATGTGCCATGGAGAGCTCCGCCAGCGGTGCCAGGCTGAGCAGTGAGAGCAGGCCCAGCCCAGGGGGGGATGGCTGCAAGTACCTGATGAGCTCTGCGGAAGCGGCCCCGGGCGCGGCCCTGCTCTTGTGTCCGGTGCCGGCCTGGATCTGGCAAAGAGCGAGCGCGGTCAGAGCTGAGGGGCTGGGGGACAGGCCGGAGAACACAGCCCAGCCCTGCCCTCCAGAGGCAGGGCCGGCCCCGGGATGCCCAGTGCCTGGAGCTGCCGGGGGATCAGCCCCGGGCCCTCTTCCCCCATTCCTTTCCCTGGCCATGTCCACAGGAGATGGGATGGGATGGGATGGGATGG